CCCGCGCGCGCGGGTAACCTGGGGGCTGCGGGGGAGAGCTGGAGGATGCACGGAGGAGGGGCTGCAGCAGGTGCAGGAGAGGAGGTGGGGGCTTCCACTTGGGCGGACCGTCGCTGCCACTTACGCCGATCGCAGGCTTGCCCGCGAAACTTTTGCAGCGCGAGGGTCTCTCCAGCCCCCGCGCGCTAATCGATCTCGCGCTCCTCCCCTCTCCCACAGGCCCGGGGAGCAGCCGTGGCAAAAAGAAGAAACACAAGAAGGAAAAGGCGCCGCCCCCTCCGCCAACAGAGAGCGGGATCCCCACGGGGTGAGTGTGAGGCGATACGAGCGGGGAAGCGGAGAGAGATCGCTGAATGCGGCCTCTGAGGTTGCCCGGGTGGGGGGCAGCGACCCTGCCCTCGGCGGGATGTGCGTAGATGTGAATGCATCCTGCCTCTGCAAGTTGTGGTTCTTAAGGCAACGTGCTTTGCACGCCAATTGCAGGTCACCCGGCATGTTGACTGGCTGTTACAGAACAGTTGCAGAAAGAGGTGCCCAGAGCTGGTTCTCACGTGTAAATTGCTTGTAGTGTTTACATATGAATGGGCCATCATCATTCTCCCCTTGCATTAGCCTCAGCACTTTTCAGATAGTCATGCATGGAACCGGGGATCGTAGAGAAATTGAGTGACATAAATGCAGGTGTAAAGCAACTTTCTGGTTTTTGTGCACAGGTGTGAATTTTAGAAAAGTGGTCTTTTTTTCACACAGAAATATTTTTCAGCCAAAAACAATGTACCTCTTTACGTGCATTGAAACAGAGACAATGCACATCGGTGGGTTTATGAATTTAGCTTCAGTATTGTATTAGGGCTGAAAAAGCCAAATAATGGATGTCGATTTTGTCAAGTGGGCCTAAACCTCTACAACAATAACTGTGCTGTAACTTTTTTTTTTTTGCATTGAGTTTTTCTACTGAGTGTTGCTTCATTGATGCATGAACTAGTCAGAAAAGATGCTACATGCGAGCATTCAGAATTGTAGCAACGTGCTGAGCTCATAGGGTTCAGGTCTCAAATTGGCAGCCTCAGATCTCTTCCCCCACAAGCCCTTGAGGACTGCACCTCCTAACTCTGCCTCCTGTCTTGGTGTAGTGGCTTCATAATGACTGCTGCTACCACCTGTCTTCTGTGGGGCACCTCTCCTGGTCTTCCCCTAACCCTGGCATGTGAGAGAAATAGGGATCCTACAGCTTGTTTGTTTTCCTGGCAAATTAAAAAGGGGGGAGAGAAATAAATGAAATGCTTTCCGTATGTCAGCTTCTGCCCCTGTAGCATTGAGCCATGTGACTTTGAGAAATCAGCCCTTCCTCCTTTGTGGAGAGAGAGACCAATCTCACCAGAAATAAGTAAAATCAAACTTCATTAAAAATGAAGGTGGGGGGAAAGAGTATAAAAGCTCATTTAAAACTTTAAGTATTAGCATGCAAGGCACTCAGTACTCGAAGAGATAAAAACGTAGTTGTTCAAATCACAGACAGCATTCTAGTAGAACTTTGAATAGAAAATCGTAAAGGAAGATAGAAGACTCACGGCAGATAACAAGGTGATGCTGGTCTGCTCCTGCTCTGAGAAACCTGCTGTAAAGAAATTTCAAGTAACATAAAACACACACACAGCTAGTACAGAGAAAATAAATTCCAGAGACAAAACGTTACACTTAAATATATACACATGTACACAGAGCAAAAGAAATACTTTTCTGTCTAGACCTGTTTATCTTTTCCTTAGAGATAAATGGATTTGTGAAGCAGCAGCCTTCTGCTTGTTTCCCTGGAGTTTTTCTACTTCTTGTAGATGCCAGCCTTTAATCAGGTGCTTAGGATGATAAAGGTGATGCTATTTCCTTCCTTTACCTTGTCCCAGTATCCTGCTTCTTGCCTGTCTTCTTCCTCCTGGGGAATTGCTTGCAGTTTAAAAAGAGCAAAAGCCCTTCTATGTGGAGGTAGAAGAGTCTTGGGGAGCCCTCTTTTTGCTAGGTGGTGAACCAAATCCCTCTCCTTACGAAGATCCTGCTTGAGATAAGGAGACGTGTAACTGGGTTAGTCTGTTGCAGCAAAACCAGCAGTGTCTTGTGCCACCTTACAGATTAGGTGATGAAGTGGACACCTGGCCCACAAAAACGAATTGCAGTAATAAATGGGCTAATCTTCAAGGTGCCACAAGACTCTTCCTTGCTTTTTCTGTGTGAATTGTACCATTTACGCCAACCCCAGTTCTCCACAGAATAATGAGAAACTATGCCACAACTTGTCCCTGACAGCTAGGGACGTGTTTGTTTTTTTTTAACGGAAGAGCATCCAGTCCTTGGAGCCCATGCTGCCACCACTTTAGTGGGCCTAACAGACATGGGGTTGGTTCCTTTCTCTTGCATGTCCCATCCCCCCCCATTCAAATTCCATTTCCATCCTGGGTGACAGCTGTTGGAAGCTGCTAGGTTATTTTTAACGCTCCGTCCATCTCTTGTCTCTGTGCACATTTGGGCTTTGACGGGTAGAGGAAGTTTCTGAGCTCACAAGGTATTAATGCCTCTTTTACTAATGAGGGGAGCATGTGGGACAGATAAAGTGCCAGCCACCAGCCTATTCTGTTTTGACAGAGACTGTCCCAGGGCCTGGCGTTCGCACTAGAATTGGCAGCTCCATCGCAAATCTGGGAGTTTTCCTCTGAGGAATACTGTCTTCTCCCTGGGGAAGACATCAAGAGCTACAGAAAGCTCCATTTCCTTGATCAGGAGCTGGAAAATCCACAGGAGTAGCTGAGTTATTCATTCTCTTGCCGCCAACTAATTTCCCTTTCTAGTTGGTTGCGGTGAATCTCTCCTCCCCTTAGAGCTATCAAGATGGGAAAAACAGCACAGATTGAAATAGAAGGCAATAGGTACGTACAGAGACTCTCCAAAGGCGGACAATGGGAATTATTTGATAGCCTTAACAAAGTAATGGCAACGAAAGGTTAGTGCCCCCCCAGGGCTGAAATCTAAAGGAATTTGAAGAGTTGAGAGAAGTGGGAAGAATATGAACAAATGAGATTACACTTTCCAAAGCTGTTACTCTGTAATACAGCCTTCCCAGGCTCATTAGCTATTTAAGCTTGGGATGATGGTAGTCCAACCAATCTGGGACAGTTTGCCATAGTAATTTATGTGACCAGTTGGTGGCTTTCAGTTGGAAGCAGACAAGGAATGTTTCCCAGCTGTTTGTGAATAAATAACTTTGAAATTTGAAGTGCCTTCTGATGGCTCTTTTTGCCCATATCTGTTTTCCCCCCTCCCCCATCTCTCCATTAGGCCACTTAGTCCCTCCTGCGCAGATGACCCTGCCCGCACACACCCCGTGCCCCCCCTGCCTCTCCCTGCCGCAGTTGGAGGCGGGCTCTTGGGATCTGATGACGAGGAGCAAGAGGACCCCCGCGATTACTGCCGAGGTATCTGAGCAATGCAGGGAGCAGCCTGGGATCTCTTAAGTGAAGGGGAGGGGCTCCCTTGCAGGCAGCATCATTTTGAGTCTTGGATGCCGTCCTGCAGAGAAGCTTCTGGCTGTCCTTTGCTGGAACAAGATATTAGATTAGAAGCTGTTTTTGTCTGATCCACTGGGGCTTTCACTTTTACATTCCTGAAGAATAACAACAGAAATGTATGAGCGTTTGTTTTAAGCATAAGATGGAACCTGAGACTAATAGGCAGTTTGTGTGTCTGTGTATGGTTGCCCCGTATGCCATGACTATAACAGCTAGTATATTAAGCTGGCCTCTTCTTTGTTCTATATTAGGAGGGTATTATCCAGTAAAGATTGGGGACCTCTTCAATGGGCGCTATCATGTGGTACGGAAACTTGGATGGGGACACTTTTCGACTGTCTGGCTGTGTTGGGACATTCAGTAAGTACTTACGGGAAAGAGCAGTAGGTGACTCACTTATTTTTTTTTATCCCATACTAAATAGGCAAGGAATGTACCTGAAAAAGAGTAGTAAATATTCAGCTAACGTTTTCAAAGTGATCAGGTTGCAATGCATGTGGGATGTTTATCAAGCTATCTGGCGGTGGACTTGGTTAATGCTGAAAACAGGATTGGATCTTGTTTGGACTTGGATGGGAGGCCGCTAGGACATACCAGAGCTATAGGCTAGACTGGCAATTGAAAAAACATCCTTGAAGAAAGGAATGGCAAACCATATTATTTCCAAGAAAATTACATGGATATGCTCATGAAGTTATTAGGAGCTCAGTTCGAGGAAATGTAACATTTATAAGAAGAGTTAAAAAAGAAGAGGAATAGAAGTACATAGAAGTCCTTTATATCCTGTCTAAATCCAGAGCAAGGAACTGGAACTAGGAAAGGTGTACTCGTCCCTTTGAGATGGGGAGTAGCATCTTGTCTCAGGGATAGATATAATTAGAAGACAGACATCAGAGTATAATTACAGGATTGCTATCCTTGACTACTTCTCCCCAAAGAGCCAATGCCTCTTGGCTTGAGGCAAATTCTTAAGAATACCAAGGATGGGGAAATGGGGCATTTTTTAATCACCTTCTGATTGAAGTGCAACAGGCTGGTTAAGTTCAAAGGATGTCCTGGAGGATGGGGACAGAGATAGTCCAGGTTCTTAGCTAAAGAACCACCTAGTTTTTGCCATGTTAAACTATTGTTGTGGTGTATTTATCCTTTGTACACTGCCCAGAGTCACTTTTGGGATATGGGCGACCTTACAAATTGTTTGTATGAATGAATGAATGTCCCTAAGGCCTCTGTTTTGCTTTCTGTGAACGCCATTCTTTTAAAATTTACTACCCTAGCTTTAATTTGTTTTCTTAGAGCAATTTTGAGGGTGCTGCTGGGACTTTCAAGTGGGAGGTAATGTTTTGAAATGAGGACTAAGGAAGCCAGGACTAACCCCGTCCCTCCCTCCCTCATCACTTCAGGCGGAAGCGCTTTGTGGCCCTCAAAGTGGTGAAGAGTGCTGTACATTACACAGAAACGGCTGTGGATGAAATCAAGCTACTAAAATGTGTAAGTCCGATGCCTCTCTGACTACTCCAGTTGTGGGTGACCTGTCCTCCTGAAGGAATGGTTAACATACTTAAGTCTTAAAGCAAGAAGTAGTCAAGTCCAGAAATAGCTAGAAAACGTGTCATTCGGCTGTCCTGATCTCCCCTCATCAGCTTCCACAGCGGTTCTTGAGCATTGTACATTTTGGAAGGAAAATACTCACTGCTATGGCACACGTTCAAGAACTGAGTTGTGGCAGTGAACATTATTTTCTGGGCCTATACTCTGGTGAGCCCCAACACAGACTATTAATTAGTGATTAATACTCTTTCTCTTTACAGTCTACTATGAGAAAGTTTGATTGCATCTTCATTTTGCCTAACACGCAGAAATACCTCCCATCGCTGTTTTAAAAGAGTTGCTCTTTGCTGTTAGTGAGAATCATCCTTTGGACTGGAAATTGGCAGTAGTCAAGGATCATACACTTTGATAATCTTGTTCATCCTCTTAATACCTTGGAGTGGATCTTTCTGAAGTCAGAAGTTGATAGCTACCAAAAAGGCACTCTTCTGTTGTAACGCCAGGTTTTTGGTCACTGAATTACCGCAACAAAAAAGAAAATCTCCAGCAAAACACATGAAAAAGAGATTACTATGACCCAAATGTATTTTTGTCCCACAGGTCTGTTTCAGGGCCAATCTACAAAATAGATTCTAAAAAAGCTAAGCAGTATTGAGATGGATTAATACTAGATGGGAGTCCATCATGAAATCCCAAGGCTATAACGGGAAGGTTAAAAAAAGAAATCCCACATGTTTGCAAGAAACCAATTTGAACATTTCTTTGAAGGCATCAGGTGTCAAACTCAGTTTAAAGGATATTTTACACTTTACCACAAATTCAGGCTCAGTCATCTAGGTTTATTAGATGTGCCCGCTGGCAGGGGGAGCCAGTGGGAACACCTGAATCTCTAGGAAAAGTTCTGGTTTACTGTTCTGTGCAAACGTGGCCACTTGGCCTTTCTTTCCCCACAACTATGTTATTTAAGATATCCTTACAGAGAGGGTTGTTTAGGCTCAGGAGTTTCTAGTTGCTGATCTGTATCTAGAATGCTTGTCCCTTGTTACCTGGTACCTTTCCCTCTTCCCAGGTGCGAGACTCTGATCCTAGTGATCCAAAACGGGAGAATATTGTCCAACTGATCGATGATTTCAAGATCTCAGGGATCAACGGTGTCCGTATCCTTTCACAAAAGATCCGCAAACTGTTGACTGTTTCTGCTCAAATAATGGATTCTAATTTTTTCCCCCAACGTTCCTGGACTTTGGCTATAAAACCAGTTTCTGCCATATCTTTGGTGCAAATGTCTGAAGGAGAAATGAAAATTGTTCCAAACTTCTTTCATACACAGAAGCTGCTATGCTGAGTGATGGCTAACCTTAGGCTTTTTCTCACTAACATCTAAGAAGGATTATTTTTTCCTCTGAGGGAGCAGTCAGGCCTTTCGACTAGCATGAAATAACACAGTGCTATGCTCTTTAGCAGCATCAGGCCTATGTGGATGAGCATAAATGGTTGCAGCCCCTTTAAATGATAGGTGAATGCAAGAAATGTTGCTGGGCTCTAGGAATTTTATGTCCCTCTAGTAGAGCAATTGTACTTTTGTTTAGTTAGCACTTCCATGTTTTGTTTATTGGGGCAACGCAGCTTCAAAGAAGTCTGTTAATCTACGGGCTTTGGGGAAATATTTCTGAGTTGCTGTGCTCTGTGCTTTTCCATTCTACCACGAGCTTCCTGCTTGGCCTCTTCACAAACAAACACACCCCCACACATGTTTTCTTTATCTAATAATGGCCAACAAGGCTCCCAGTGGTCTGCAGCAACTATTTGCCATGTAGATAAAAATATTTTTCTATTGATCCTGGATCCATTCACTCCTTATAATAAAATCAAAGCTAAAAAGAAATAAATGGCCAATCATTTTCCCCAGAAAGGCTGTTCTGCCAAACAGCTGCTTTTGAAAGAAGATTCCAGGGGAGTTTAGTTATCTGAAAACTTGCTTGGTCTTCGTGCTGTCTAAGAGTCAACAGTCAGATGATTCCAGAGTCTTGTCTTATACCAGCTTTCTTTCTCTGTCTTTGCCCTATATCTGATTTAAGTTATTTTATAAGTTCTTCAAGTACTCTAGGGAAAGGAAGGGATCAGTTTATTGGTGCCTTATTAACAACCAGAGCACTCATTCTGGTGGCTGTTATTTCCTTGACGTGGCTTTTGCCCAGATGTTTGCATGGTCCTTGAGGTTTTAGGACACCAGCTGTTGAAGTGGATAATCAAATCCAACTACCAAGGGCTTCCCATACCTTGTGTCAAGAGCATCTTATGCCAGGTAAAGATGAATTTCTTTGCAATCAAATTTGGGAGAGGGTTAGTGTTTACGGTCAGGGTCATTCCTGACCTTTTTATTATGCCAAGCAGACGGCCTTAAGCTGAACACCTGTTTTTCTGGGACTTGAGTGCAGCCATAGTAGTTAATAAGACCAAGACTCCTAAGGTTGCAGTTCCAGATCCAGGGCCCTGACCTTGCATCCTCTTGACCTGAATCATAAAAAGGTTCTTATCTTTGCTCCCCATTGGCACAGTTTGCTTCCTTTTTCAGGTGCTACAGGGCCTTGACTACCTCCACACAAAGTGCAAAATAATCCATACAGACATCAAGCCAGAGAATATCCTGCTGTGTGTAGATGAGAGTTATATACGACGGCTGGCAGCTGAAGCCACTCTCTGGCAGCAGACTGGGGGCCCTCCCCCCTCTGGTTCTGCAGGTAAGTAATCCCATCCTGTCTGTGCCTTTTAATCTTTGTAAGGATACCTCATATGAGCAAGAGTTGATGCTGGACTCCTTTCTCCCAAGAATGTTAAAGGGGCAAGATAGAAGTTGAGTGTCGAAAAATCAGAATTTGCCCCTAGCAAATGAAGGCTTTTATTAGATTGATGCAAACATAATTAAGGGAGCAACAATGATTCCTGAATTCAGGATTGCTTAAATGTCAACGTTTTCGGTATTCGTTGAATCCAGAAGTACTAGACAGTTTCAAAGGAGCCATAGGGACAATATTTATACCCTAATGAGTGGAATAGAAATGTTTTGAAAGGGGCAAGAATGAAGACCAGGTCCCTCCAGGGCAGTGATACTAAAAAACTTCAATGTCAGCCCAAAGAATCTATGATGGAGCTTAAGTGCATGAAATAAAACAAAGAAAATCTGTTAGATGAGGGTAAGGTGAAGTAAGATTGGTAGAGAAGGTGGGCAAGTTCTGTTAAATTTTCTAAAGTGAATCCATTGGATTGCCATTGCTTTTTCACACTCTTGGCCACTGCCTTGGCAAAGTCAATTTGGCACCTGTCAAGGAGACTGATTTGCCTTGGGGATTCCAATTAATGATCTGAAGGCTTAAACACAGCAGGAGAACAGGCTTCCTGGATAGCGAGCAGGAGGCTGCTCTAATTGGCATGGAGGAAGGCACCAAAATGGTGGAGGAAGAAGAAAATAAACAAAAGCCATCTTTCTTCCATACATTGATAGAGCAAAGCAGTTTTCCCTGTTTTCCATGCTGCTGTCAGAATTCAAGGCTGCTTCTCATTCTAATCTGTTTTGTGTCTATGTTCTGGGGAAGTCAGCATAAAAGTGCCTTTCCCAGCTGGATGCCTTCCAGAGGAATTGTTATTACTATTATTTATTGCATTTTTTTTCACCATTCCTCTGGCAACTCCAGGCAGCATTCAGGAGGGCCTCCTGTCATTTTATCCCCTCTGCTAAAAATGTGGGAAATAGGTTAGGCAGAAAGGCTGTGACTGGCTCCTAGTTGCCCATCAATCTCTGTGGTTGAGCAGGGATTAGAACTGGGATCTTGGTTCCAGTCTGACCCCTAAACTGGCCAAACTGGCTCTCTGCAGCTGAGGGTTTTGGTCCTAACACTTCTGGAAAGTATCAGGTTATGAAAGATTAGTATAAGGCCTTAACAATTAGTCAGGAATGGCTGCCCCATTTTGGCACCCCCCTGGAGCCCCCATAATCATATTTCCAAAATTTAGCAATATGATTATTTTGTCTCTTCTTTACCAAATAACCTGAAAATGGGTATATTGTGTGTTTTTTAAAAAATGACATGAAGACCAGGTCCTCATGTCATGAAGACCAGGTATATACACATTGCAAGTTTCATTCCTGCCCCTTTCAGTGTTGTGCTGTGTCAGTGCCCCATCCAGCAACACTCCTTTATTTTTTTTAAGGTGAACTTCTACCCACAGAAAGATTGTCTGCCCTTAGAAGTAGGGAAGGTGTTTGTTCACTAATGGAGAGGGATGGTTCCAAATGAAGGCAAGGGCCATGAATGCTTTGTGCCCAAACAAACCAACATAAGCATATTTCAGTTTTGCATTTAGCTCCCCTTCCCAAACACCACATCAAGAAAAATACCAGCTCTGCACCTTATGCCTGCAATTGAAGTAGATTTCCATCTCTTTATTTTTTATACCTGGTTCTCTTTCGATTCATCATTGGGAGTGATGAAGCACTAGGTATGAGTCATGAAATCCTTTTCTAACAATCACTGGGAATCTTATTACCTTCCTCCCTTTCCAGCTCTGGCTTCAGAAATGTCATCAGAAGTTGATCACATCATCAGGTGTTATTCTAGCAGCCCCTAAGGGCTGGGGATGTGGTCTATTTCTACATTAAAAGCTAAGCACCTTTAAGATGCTCAGCAGCAGAAAACTCCCAGACTCTGAATGTGACTCCTGGAGAACACTGTTAATGGACACGGTTGCAGTTGAGGTCCAGCAGCAAACTCAGGATTCTGCCCTTTGATCAGGCTCAGGTTCCATTTAGAACTTTCAGAATGTAGTTCCACATTCAGAATGGCCATAAGAGTAGAACTCTGGGATAAAGTGAGGGGGGGCGATCAGAGCCTGCTCCTGGTTTTACAACATTAATCCTAGCTTTAGGGTGGAACGATCACAATGGTGTGGGAGAGCCTGGCCTTCCACATCCTCTTCCTCCTCATCCTCCTTTATAGCATTACTGATTGATGTTTGTTTGCTTTGGATTTCCTGGCTGATCCTGGGAATCATTTCTGTCTCTTTCTCTCTCCCCCTTTTCTCGCCTCACTCCACCTGTGCACCTCTTCCCTCAGTCAGCTCTGCACCCCAGGAAAGCCTGGTAAGTCCCCCACCCTGTCCAGGGCAGTGAGGGGGGGGAGGAACGGAGTTTCAGAGTGCCTGTTTTGGATCTCACTTGCTCTGTGAGACTCATTGGCTGTCGATACCCACCATGTCCGTTGCCCTTGTGTGGATGGCTCCTCCATGTTTGGCAAGTTGCATCTGAGGCTTACGTTGCATCTGTAATTTGTCTGTAAATGCTACCATGGACACCTTTTGCATATAGTGAGATGATATTTGCAGTCTTTGTTACCTCCAGGAGAGGTGGTATGCAGTCAAAGAAGAGAAAGGGGGGGAAATTTCCTTATCCTAGGTTGGACTATTGCCATCTAGGCCATTTTATGTCTTCTCTGGTTTGTGGCTGCAGTCTCGTGGCACAGGCAACGGCTCCTTCATATCACCCATGTAACAGGAGATACCTGAAGTTATTTCTCTCTACGCTCAAAGAGAGCTAAGAGCTCATCCCCCTGGGCCAGGGATATCCCAAGAAATGTGAGAGCCTAGTCTGGATATAGATCCCCTTCCCATGACTTAACAATCTTGTGCTCCCGCTCCCATTCACTTCAGTGAGGCTGTCTCATGCAGGAGAGCTTGCTGGTTGATTCTTCCCCATGGGTCACATTCTGTATCTGGCAACCAAACTTAAAATCCATGACCCACCTGAGTCAGCCTTCTCCTTTTGCTGTATGGCTGGTCTCTTGAAGCAGAAGAGAAGGAGAAGAGAATGGCAATCTTGAGATTAGGACCCTGCGTTTGCAGGCTATGTATACTTCTGCACTTGTGCTTCTTAATACATTAATGTAGATGTGCCATTTCTGCTGACTTACAAACTTTAAAGTAACTTTAAAGTAGAGATGACTTTGAATGTGGAATCTTCTGTTAAGGATCAGAAGTAGCAAAGGGAAGTGAAAGAGTTTGCAACGGGAAGCCTGGGCACCAGAGGAGAGCTGATGTCACTTTGTGAAGTATACACAGCTTTGTCCATTCATGCTTTCCACCCCTTTGGGCAACTTGTGAACCTCCAGATGTTGCTGAACTACAGCTTTCCCACTATTGGGTGTGCTGGCTTGAACTGTTAGAAGTTGGTGTTCAACAATATCTGGTGGGCTATAGAGAGCTCACCCAGAGTTAGGTGTTGCTGGATTGGACAGACAGCAAGAATGCCATAATTCTTGGAGTGTAATTTGTTACTTCCACTGTAAACCAGGCTCTTGGTTTGCCTGCCAGGTCATTGTATGCAGTGAGTTATTTTGCTTCTTAAGGGAATGTGAAAAAAAAGGCTGTCTTAGATGGAGTGATGGCTGTCCCTTAAAAGTGGACACCATCAGCAAGATCATGGGCATTGCCTCACGCTTCTCTGTGCTCAGTTACTGCATTGGCTCAAATGCATTAATCATGATTATGGGTATTTAAGATTTCTTAATCAGGACCAGTAAGTGGTTCATATACCCTGGCTAAGAGTGAGTCAGTTAGTTAGCTAACCATTATTAATACCAGGGCTGATGTAAAGCAATCTGTGCATAACAGGAGAAATATTAGCAGTCGTCACTGCTTCCAGTTTTTTTTTTTTTAATTATGGTAAAGAAACTGACAGCTTTAGATCTGAACTAGCCCAAAGTGTTGGATTCATGTTCGCTTTTTCTGTAACACGTGCACGGCTCTTGTGTTCCCTACAGAGATGGCAATAATATATTAGGTGTCTTTTTCTTTTCACAAATTTCCACTTATCTTTTCTCCATCTTTTTCTTTGCGCGCCTGTTTCTTTACAAGCAGAATAGCTGATCTGTTGCAACTTCTGACCTGAAAACATTGGTGCAGCAGACCTCACGGGGGCGGGGGGGAGCATCACTTGGTGCTGCTTTGCATTCAGGAGATCTACAGGTTCAGCCTCTAGCATCTCTCGTTGAAGAGGATCAGTTGGCAGGAATGGGGAAAGAAAATGAGCCTCTCACCTCCTCTAACTAGATGCTGTAGATAAAAAGCCCAAGTTGATGGATTCCTGGGTTTAATAAATGCGTTTGTGTGACTTAAATTGTATCACTTGAAAGAAGGGGGAAAGACCCCGTTTTGACCCTAACCATATTAAAGTCAGGTAAAGATAGGTAAGAAGAGGAATCCTGCATTTGAACATTATGCGTTTGGGGACACTCCGCCTGCACTGTTTATTTGAATGGTAGAAGTGTTCACTGAACATCAGGGCTGAGCAGGCAGTGGGAGCAATGTCCAGCATATACATAGCTGCGTGCAAGCCCAGAGGGGCTGGCTGCGAATTTGAGTTTAAGTGTGTACTGTGATGCTGTTTGTCCTGGGATCCTATTTCTTAAGAACCAGATGTCTTGTAAAAGAGATCCTATAACATTTAGACAACACTGCTGAGGGTCATACTAGTTGGGAGTCATAGTTGTAGTCTGGCACACATGGGAGTTGCCAAGGAGAGAAGGCTGTGTTGAAGGCCTGCTTTGTCTGTTTCCCACCACTTAAAACATACACGTGTACATACATATACAACTCCCAGCAGCTAAGGTGATAAATCATAAGGATAAGGGATCATTGGTTTGATTTTAGGTTAGCCATTGCAGTTTCTTAACCATGGCTTATGGTTTTGTGTGTTGTAAAGGCACAACTCCAGAGCTGATTTTCTAACCTGCCTTGATTTTGAAATACAATCTGTTTTCAGTTTGCTGGTGAAAACCACTATGATTCATTTGTTCTCTGAATACGGTCCAAAGGGTATTCTGGAAGTGGGAAATACCTAGAATATCCCTCCACTGAAGGAAGGCTAAGTTCTTTGTTTTCGCTGGTGAAGGATGGGCCACTTTGGATTCTGTTGATGTGAATTCCCATTTCAGAACAAAATAAAATACCCCATAGGAAGCAAGCATATCCAGAAAAGGCTCTGGTCTTACTTTCTCCTTTGCATGCTAGTTGTTTGTATCTGTGGAGGTTTTTGTATGGAAGAGGATTTGGTCATGTGAACTGGGCCTTCTGCCTTAAGTGGAACTGCAGAAAATCAGCATCTGATCTGCCATGTGTTGATCATGTCTGTCTGAACTCAGCTGTAATTACCTGCAGAAAATCTAAGAAGCAGCCCCCAAATGCCTTGTGTCTACAACCCTGGGGACCAAGCCCTTCCTACCTGCTAAAGATGGGCAGCCTGTGACATTTCAAAAGTTTTTAGACTACAGATCCCATCATTCCTCAAGTGTGCAAGACGTTGGCTAGGGAAGAGGTTGGCCACATCAGAGCTTGCTCTTTTTCCCAGTTCCCAGCAGACCAAAAGAACTGAGCATCATCTAGACCAGGGTTCCTCAACCTCAGCAACTTTAAGATGGGTGGACTTCAACTCCCAGAA